TGTTGCCATTGTGCAATAATCCATGGTATGAGTGTACTTCAATTTACTTAACTTGCTTACTGGGGATGCACATGCCAGTGTAGTCCATTATGGATATTCTTAAGACTAGTGGCCTGGTATATTGGCCTGCATACTTATGAGTGGAATTGTTAGTCATAGGGTATATTAGTTTTCTATTGCTGCTCTAACATATTACCATATATCTGGTGGCTTAAAGCAATCCAGATTTATCATCTTACAATTCTAAAGGTCAGAGTCTAAAATGGGTCTCACTGGGATAAAATCAAGGTGTCAGCAGGGCTGTGTTCACCTTTGGAGATTCTCGGGGAGAATCTGTTTTCTTGCTTTTTCTAACCCTCTGGGGGCTGCCTGCATGCTTTGGCTTATGGCCTCCTTTCATCTTCAAAGTCAGCGATGGCTGGTGGAGTCTTTCTTGTGCTGCATCACTCTGGTTATCCTGGATCATCTTGGCGGATTCCAATGAGGATCCAGCTAAAGATCCTCAACTTATATCTTCAAAGTCTCTTTTATCATATAAGGTAATAACAGGTCCCAGGGATCAGGATGTGGACATTTTGAGGGGCCATCATTCTACATTTAATACATTTGTATGATAAATCTTTAAAAAAAATTTTTTATTTATTTTCGGCTGCGCTGGGTCTTAGTTGCTGTGGGTGCTTTTTTCTTTTAATTGAGGCAAGTGGGGGCTACCCTCCAGTTGTGGTGCTTGGGCTTCTTATTGTGGTGCCTTCTCTCGTTGTAGAGCATGGGCTTCAAGTAGTTGTGGTGGACAGACTTAGTTGCTCCATAGCACGTGGGGTCTTCCTGGATCGGGGATTAAACCCATGTCCCCTGCATTGGCAGGCAGATTCTTACCCACTGTGCCACAGAACCGCCACCGGGGAAGCCCCTGTCATAAATTTTAAATGTATTACATAAGGACAAATAGGGACTTCCCAGGTGGCACTAGTGGTAAAAGAACCTGCCTGCCAATGCAGGAGACATAAGAGATGTGAGTTTGATCCCTGGGTCAGGAAGATGCCCTGGAGAAGGAAAGGGCAACCCACTTCAGGATTCTTGCCTAGGGCATCCCATGGACAGAGGAGCCTGGCGAGCTACAGTCTATAGGGTTACAAAGAGCTGGACACGACTGAGGTGATTTAGCATGCAGGCACACAAGGACAAACAAAAAGTCTCTGTTGCTGCACATCCTTGCTAACACTTGGATCAGAGCTTAAAAATTTTGCCACTCGTCTGTAAACTATCTCCTATGGGAATGGGGGAAGGAAGTTCAATCATTTCCCATATTTCCAGCCTCTGACCAAATCCTTCCACAAACAGTATTCATCATCTACAACTAACCTGCCTTCACCTGCCTGTATTTTCAGCATTGTTTGAAGTAGCCTGGTCCCAACTATTAGACTCCTTATATTTTAGACATTCCATCAGCCTGCTGGCTGTCTTACATGCAGACCTCATTCCTATCTGGTTCTAAGTGTCTTCTAGTCCCCATCTGCCTAGAGTGCTGGTATTTTAACCATATTCAATGATGACTCTATTTGAATGATTATGGAGTGGTCATGTGCAACTGAAGAGGCATGGTATGACATCCTAAATAAAAAGCCACCACCTTCATGCCAATATTTCAACTGCTCCATTGGCCATGAATTTGGTGCTAAAGCTTGGCTTGCATTTACACTAACTGGGGCTGATTCATTAGAAAAGACCTTGATGCTGGGAAAGATTGAAGGCTGGAGGAGAAGGAGATGACAGAGGATGAGATGGTTCAATGGCATCACTGACTTGATGGACGTAAGTTTGAGCAAGCTCCAGGAGATGGTGAAGGACAAGGAGGCCTGGAGTGCTGCAGTCCATGTGGTTGCAAAGAATCAGACGTGACTAAGTGACTGAACAACAACTGGGGCACTAAAAGGTTATGAAGCGTGAGTAGCAAAGGTCATCTGAGATGGAAACCCAAAGTTCCCAGGGGATTTCAAGATATAACAGAGCTTTGAGTGTCAAATGGCATGGCAGAGGAAACATTTTCCTGACCTTAAAAATATCTGCCATAAAAAAATGCCTCTACTACAGCCAGTTTGATGTTGAAATACCCTCGAAGAACTACTTAGATTAGCACTTTTTGAAAAGTCTACAGCATTTACTACCAAAGTTCACTTCCCAGGTAGAAGCACAGAAACAGAGAATGCTGGGGTACACTTCTCACAAAGTACAGTCTCACAGAATTCCCATTTCACTTCTACTTTATGCACTGGAAATTTTCAGCATGGGCATAGTGCCCAGTATAATAGCAAATAAAACAGATGTGCTTTTCCATTCACATTCGTCAGGAAATTTCATATTAAGCAGTTCAATAATTATATAAGAAATGTCATCTATATGCTAAAATATCCCTATAGACTAATTGATATTGGAAAAACTGTGTTAAAGGGTATAAATGCTTGAAAACTGGTATCAGGAGGAGAACTTCCAATCTGTAACCAGGAAGTTTCACATTAGGCAGTTCAAGAAAATGGAAGCTGAAATGCTGGCCGGAACTCTTCCTGCTATGTCTCCCATACCCAGGAGCAGGGTGCTTTTAATAGCTCGCCGCAGGACACTTAGAGTCCACTTTTAAAGACATTAGAATGGCTGGAGTGGCCTTTCAGGGAGAGAGCCTTGAAAGGGACAGCAGCATTGCTAGAACTCCTCCTCTGGCAGCAACCAGGTGCTCAGAACGAGGCGATGGTAAGTAGGACTAAGAAACTATCAAGCTGGCCAGCAAAAGCCAGTTACTGAGGTCTGGAAAGTGTCATGAGACAGGGACCAACCAATGTCTTCACAATCGACCTCTCTCCTCTGGTTTTCTTGCTTTGTCCTCCAGCCTCACGAGTAAAAGCATTCCCACAAGATACTGTCTCTAGCCCTTCCCCTTTCTTTACTTGCTTTCCTATTGTTCCATTATCTCTTGGTGTATAAGTGGAAGACTTGCAATGATATAACCACCGCCCTGCTCTTTTGCCTGAACTCCAGTTTTCTTTGGTCAAAACCTCAAGGTTTCCAAAGCTGACACTTACGTCCCCTCTCAAACTTGGTTTTCCTCTTAGGTTCCCCAGTGCTGCTGATGGTGCCCCATGCTTAACTATCTGTTCTTCACACTACCTTCCAAGTCATCTCTCTGGAATAGAGCGCTGATCACACCACCCACCTGCTCAAGAACCTTCCATGACTCCTGCTGTTATGGAATCAAGTCCAAACTTGCTGCCTTGGCATCAAATCCCTCTAAGACTTGCTTCACCATCGTCAGCTAAACTAATTAAACGCAAAAGCTTTTGCACAACAGTGGAAACTATGTATAAAATGAAAAGACAACCCACAAAATGGAAGAAATATTTGCAAACAATGCTACCAACAAGGGATTAATCTTCAAAATTTACAAATAGCTCATGTGACTCAATATAAAAACAAACAATACAAAAAAAAATTGGCAGGCCTAAATAGACACTTTTCCAAAGAAGACATATAGATGGCCAAGAGGCATATGAAAAGGTACTTACCGTTGCTAATTATCAGAGAAAGGCAAATCAAAACTACACCAGTAGTTTTATTCTCACACCAGTCAGAATAGCCACTGTCAAAAAGTCTACAAACAATAAAATCTGCAGAGGGTTGTGGGAATGTAAATGGATACAGCCACTATGGAGAACAGTGCAGAGATTCCTTAAAAAACTAAAAACAGTGCTCCCATATGATCCAACAATCCTACTCTTGTGCATACATCTGGAGAAAAACATGGTTTGAAAGGATACATGCACTCCAATGTTCATTGTAGCACTGTTTACAATATCTGGGACATGGAGGCAACCTAAATGTCCATTGACGGATGAATGGATAAAGATGTGGTACATATATACAATAAATATTATTCAGACTTTAAAAAGAATGAAATAATGCCATTTGCAGCAACATGGATAGACCTAGAGACTATCATACTAGGTGAAGTAAGTCAGACAGACAAAGACAAATATGATATCGCTTATACGCAGGATCTGAAAAAATGATACTAGTGAACTTACTACAGAACAAAAAGAGACTCACAGACTTAGAGAACTTGTGGTTACCAGAGGGGAAGGGATAGATTGGGAGTTTGGGACTGACATGTATACACTATTATATTTAAAATAGATACTCAACAAGGACCTACTATATAGCACAGGGAACTTTGTTCAATACTCTATAATAACCTAAATGAGAAAAGAATTTTAAAAAAGAATAGATCCATTATATGTATTACTGAATCACTTTGCTGTACACCTAAAACTAACACAACATTGTATACTCCAGTATAAGAAAAAAAATACAAAAGCCTCACCTGGTCCTTCCAATTTAGCCCAACTCCCACCATCTCCTCCGACGCGCACAAATGCGCACATTGCTTTAAGCACAAGCAATGGAGCGCTGCTGGAGCATTTTGCTGCTTTTGCATTTTTTCAGCCTTAACCTTTGCAACGCAAACCTGACAAATCAAGCCTTGTCCTTAGGCAGAGTTGGAGTTGGCAGAGCGCAGAAAAGGTAATTATGCTCAGAGCAGAGCACCTGTGATGACCTCTGCATCTTCCCCTTGCCTCCCTGGGAGATAGCTCTTGGGCAGGTCAGCACCCTGTCCAGGGACAGAAGAACCTGGAAATCAGGCCAGGACAGTTCCTGCAGCAGCACCTCTGCTCTGCATCATGTCTGCATGGGCCCTTATACCGATGATCCCACACATGGGATTTCAGGTAGGTTTTTTTTCCTCCATGGTTGTGCAATCTATAGCTCACCAAAGATCCCCAGAACTGAGCAGCTGCACCCTGTCCCACCTTCCCTTGCAACTGGCAAAGAAGGTTTCAGAGAAGACAGTCCTCCCTCTGGTATCAAACATGAATCATGCTCTGTGCCGTGAAAACCTGTGTGCAGGGGAAGGTCTTGACCTCTTGCCACGAACCCAGGGAAGAGCCAAGTACCTTCTGGCCGTGGTTTTGGCTTTTCCAATCCTCCGTCTTGCATGAGCTCAAAGGCAAAGGAGACATTCAAGACCTGGAAAGAGAAATGAAGTGTGTGAGGCGCTGCATACTCATTCCTGGACCCTTGCGGCTCCCTGGGACCTGCCCCTGGAAAGTGGAAGAACCAGCACTGTAGCCAGAGGGGCAGGGGCTGAGCTAAACTGAGGCTGGTTTTTGAAGCAGAAACAATGCGGCCAAAGCGGGCCTGCCACACGGAGTGTGGACGGGGCCGAGTGCCTCTGTTGGTGAAGCACTCCCGGAGGAGTTAAAGATTCTGTCTGTGTCCTACTGTGTTCCTGTGTCACTGCCAGGACTGCAAACTCAGGAATGTATGTGCTCACAGTCGAAAGAATCAGACAGTAAGACACCTTCAAAAGGACCTTCCTGGTGGCGCAGTGGTTAAGAATCTGCCTGCCAATGCAGGCGACACCAGTTTGATCCCTGGTCTGGGAAGATTCCACATGTTGTGGAGCAGCTAAGCCCGCGAGCTGCAGCTGCTGAGCCTGTGTGCCCTGGAGCCCGTGCCCACAACGAGAGAAGCCACCACGGTAAGAAGCCCATGCACCGCCATGAAGAACAGCCCCAGCTCGCCAGCAACTAGAGAAAGCCTGTGAGCAGCGAGGAAGACCCTGTGTGGCCAAAAATGAAATAAGTTAAAAAATAAAGTTTAGGGGAAAAAAGACATTCAAGAGGCAGAGAAAGGTTTCTGCTTGGGGCCAAAGGCCTGTTGTCTAGCAGGTGGGCGGCAGCACTCCAGGAGAGGCGTCGGAACCTGGCTGAGCGGGAGCCTCCTGTCTGACCACTCTGCAGCCACCTTCCCTGTCACCTCGGGGGAGGGATGAAGCGGGGCTGTGGCCCCCAGCGGGAAGGTGCGGCCAGGGGACCAGGGTGCAGGGGAGGGATGCTCAGGGGCTGTAGGTAGCTGCTCCCCAGCTCAGCTGCCCGCCCCCCGCCCCCTTCCAACCACTGAAGACCCTAGGCAGACGGGAAGCCGCCGCCTTTACCCAGGTGGTCTCAGCACAGCTATGGGAAGACGGGTCGAGCATGTGGGCTGGGGCCGCCTCTTACCTTCTGTTCAAAGCTGTCCGGGGTCAGGAAGAAGCTGTGAAGCGGCACGAAGTAGCCCTCCAGGAGCCCCATGAGCAGCACCAGGTACACCCCGTCTGCAAACTGGACGAGAGAGCCAGGTGAAGGCACTGGGCCCCCCAGCCCTGGCCCATCAGCTTCCAGGTCAACCCCCAAAGGCTACGTCCCCGGGCAGGCTGCTGGCAGGCAGTGACGAACAGGGGCCCAGGGCGGGTAGGTCTGCTGCCCGACGTCCGGCTGGTCCACACACAGGCCCACGCGCCTGATCTCAACTGGTCCAGTATTTATTGAGCGCCGACTATGTACCAAGCACTGATCTGGCACATGGAGCACAGAGATGGGTCAGGCGTGGCTCCAGCCCTGGAGGAACTCACGGTCCAGCGGGGAGACTGCTGTGGAGGACAGGCATGCAGCTGCTGCTGCTCTGCGGGAGGGAAACATGCTGGCCTGCGTGAGACCGGGAGAGGTCACTCATCCCGCGGCAGGCACCAGGGAAGGCTTCCGGAGGAGGTGCTGCCTGGATGGAGACGTGAGGGATGAGCAGGAGTTAGCTCGGGAGGGCAAGCAGGAGGGAAAGGGTAAATATGTGTATGGTGTCTAGAACACTGCTTGGCATGTAGGCAACACTTAACACATATTAGATATTAGCTATTGCTATTTTTTTATCCTGGAAAACAACAAAGCAGTCAGGACACACCGTCCTGGCTCTTGCTGACAAAGCACAACTGTGTGCTCAGGGCCATGGCAAGAGGCTTAGAGCTGGTCCCTTCCATCAAAGACAACAGAGGCCTGATGGGCTGAGAACCTGGTCTGAGGAACAACAGGCGCCAAAGCCAAGCAGAGGGGTGCAGGCCTTCCACTCAAGGGAGGGGAGGTACGTGTGTGCTGGGCAGGCTTTGTGGGGACGGTGGGGGCCCATGAGCTGAGGGGAATGTGAAAGGAGTAGATGCTGTGGGTCTGGAAGATAAATGGCCTGAGTGAAGATATGGAGGTCAGATGCATATCTGATATTCTAGAACCTTTCAAAGGAGGCAGAGCCATCAAATATTTGTATAAACAACAGCTGCTAGAGTTCACAAGAGGTCAAAGTTCTTGGAAGCATCTTAGGAAACTTTTAAAATACTAGACTGAATTACCCGGAATCTGGGCTGGGCCCAGAGTCTGAGCTCTGCTGGGTGACTAGATGGTGGGCCTGTGGCTCAACCTGGGTTATGGGCAAACAACCCTGAGCATGAATTTGACCTAGGAGTGGCTTCCTCCCTGTGTTCATCCATCTGGCCTTCAACTCAGGCGGGTAGGGCCTGAGCATGACTCATTCCAGGCCACCCCAGGGTGGACCATGGGAAACAAACCCCAACATCTGTGTCAAAATCAAGGCCCTCCTACGGAATTGGTTAGCTGGGCCTTCCTCTGGCTGTGGCTGCAATGGGTTGAGGATGAAAGAATCCAATCTGTCAACTCAAGGGAGGACACTGGGTTAGGGTCAGGATTACTTATAGCTCTGAGTGCCACAGACCTAGCCTGCTCCCACCCCCGACTGCAGTTCCAATGACTTGGTGGTGAAACCTGCAGACAGGCCCCACATGTGTTCAGCAGAGACCCCCTTTCCTGCCCATGAAAAGTGAAGAAGTTCCAAGGGCTCATTCCAGCTCTCTCCAGGAATCATTACTTCTGCAGAGTGTCCCCATCTCCCACATATGATGTTGCCTCCAGAGTCGAGACACACCCAGGGAGAACTCAGGCACAGGCCTTTAAAAATACAGGAGGTGCCCATGTATTCAAAAGAAAATCACGCTTTAGAAATTAATTGCGAATGAAAGGAGATTGGGAAATGGGACACGTTACATAGTCTCAAAGTATCTCCTAATATAGATTAGCTATTAATTATAAAGGGGAGGAGCTTTATGGTAGGGAAATCTGGGAGAATGCCAACTTAGCCAAGTGGTCAAAGTTACCACCACCAGGTACAGAACTGATGGACAAAAGTACCTGAGAAGAACACAGTATTTTCTCAATGGTACTGTTCTTGAACATGCATAACCTACCTCTAATCATGAGGGAGAAAAACAGAGAGATTCTATATACCATATAGCTCGCATTCTTCAAAAATGTCAGCATTAGGCAGACAGGCTGAGGATTTGTTCTCTATTAAAAAGAGACTAAAGAGACATGACAACTAAACGTATCAGGTGAGAATACGAGGACATCTGTGTTTCTTAGAACCATGTGACACTACTCATGTCAAGAGTAGTCAAGTATCAGCAATTTCACATGGTTCAACCAAAATAGGTTAACATTGCACTGATGTTAAAACTGCCTGAATTTGATTACTGCATTGTGATTCTCTAAGAGCATGTACTTGTTCTTAAGAGATGTATGCTGAAGTATTTAAAGGTAGAAAGAGAAAAAAAACCCAAGTGTGAACAAACGCTAACAATTGGTGTATGTGGGTGAAGAGTACATAGGGGTTCATGACAATATTCTTGCAGATTTTCAAAATAAAAAATTGGAAAAAATTCAGAGAAATCTCATGCAGTTCATCCCTCAGAGTGGAATAGAATTCCCTCTCCCTTCCCCAGAGAAGCTCCAGGGTCAGGATGGAAAGCCTCCCAACAATGTGGGGCCCTGGGAACAGTGGCGGTCCAGGGGGTCTTGTCCCCCACCCTGCACTCGGGGCTGTCACCCACCTGGGTTTCCAGTTCTGTGACCTCCAGATTCAGTTTATTCAGGTGTTTGTTCACGAAAGTGATGAGTGTCTAGAAGAAAAGCACAAGCCAGGCCTTGAGAGGGAGACTCTTGCCCTGGAGGCTGCCCCGTGACTCCACCGTGAGGACACAGGACGAGGACCAGCCAAGGCGGCGCAGCCAGTGACGTTCTTGTGAAACTCCTGTGTCCACAGGGGAGGACGGCCCCCAGGATCTGCAGTCCCAGGCACTGTATGACTCAAATAGCCAGGCCCAGGACTGGGCAAGGAGCAGGGGGTGTGAAAGGACAGAACGACAGCTGGAGTGCCTGAGCCCAGGCTCAGGGGACCAGAGGAGACATGACCACATTGGGTCCCTTCCAGTCCCCACTCCACGAGGTACAGGTGCCTGCATCCAGGGAGACAGAGGGAGGTCTGTGTGAGGAGCAGGGATGGCTGGGGGTTCAGTGTGCTTGGGAGATGGGGGCCCGTAGCCTCAGAACCTCCCAGAGATGCTGTCATCCAAATGGGAGAAGAAAGAAACTAGATAAGGCATCCAGCGAGAATAAGACAGGTAAAATGGATATCAAGCAAGAAAGCCCTGTGTTTGTGGTCATCTGGACATGACACCAGTTTCAGAAAGCTTGCAAGCTGCTGGGGGTGGGTTTTCCTGATGTATTTTGACATCTCACTCCCCTTCCTCCCTCCCGCCCTCCCTCTCAGGCATCTCTTTCCCACCTTTTTCACCACGTTGAGCTTGTCTGGTGCATGGTCAAACAAGGTGTCAAAGGCATCACGTTCTGAAAAAAAGAGAAAGCAAGTAGAGCCCAGAGCTAGTGCCACTGCAGGTCCCAGGCACCAGCCTCTGCAGACCAGTGGTCACCTCCAGGTGGGAATTCTCTGGGGGATGAACCGTGCTGCAAACTCGGGAAACTGGGCTTGGGCAGAGGTTTGGGGTTGATTCTTATCTTGGGGGCCTTTCCCCAGTGTGTGTGTAAGCATGTGTCCATCCTCTATATCGACTGTCTTTAGGCTGGGTTGGGGGGCTCTAGCAGGCAGTCTGGCTTGGAACTGGCCATTTTTCTTCACTATTTTGTATTCCTTGATACCATGATTTAGTCATGGTTCTAAAGTGTTTCTGAAGCTTTCTGGAAGCAGAATGTCATCCAAATATCAAATCACTTCACTCCCTAATTTTCAAAACCCAGATAGGCTTTCTGGTAGAAAGCAGATAGGCCGACTGGGAGCCACAGAGCTGCAGCTCAGAAGGGGGAGCTCCCCATCCTGAGGGATCCAGTCACGCCAATCCTTTTAGCCTTGCCTTCCTCTTCTATAAAATGTGCACTGGACATGAAGCTCCCCTAGGTGGGTAATGAGGATGAAAGACTAGAAAGTACATGCTCCTTAAACTCTGAAGTATCTGTTGATCTGAGTTATTATTAGCATGATTAGACTATTTCAAACTATTATGCACAGTGAATATAGAATCAGAGAAAATAGTGAAGCCATGCCCCCTGCAGGGATTTTCCTCGCTACAGCCCCTAGGTCCTCTTATCTGAAGGGTGAAATAGTGGAAGGAGGTACTTCCCTGTGGTCTAGTGGCTAAGATTCTGCTCCCAATGCAAAGGGCCTGGGTTCGATCCCTGAATAGGGAACTATATCCCACGTGCTGCAACAGTTTGCATGCTGCAACTAAATGATCCTGCATGCTATGATTAAGACCTGATGCAGCCAAATAAATAAATAAAAAGTAAATAGTAGAAAGAAAGAGTGGAGATGGATCTTCCACTGGGAATGGGGCGTCTCCAAGAGGAGCCCAGGCCTGGGCGGTTTGTGGTCCTGGGCTGCCTCTCCCACTCTCACACCCACTCTTGATGATTAAATCTGAGAATGGGAATTGTGATCTTGGACATTCAGAGACCTTAGAAACAAACCCCAGGTTCTGGGAAATGGGAGACGTAGGAGGCATGATGAGGAAGGAGGCAGCTTCGAGGAGGGCTGGACAGACTGGGGAGAGGGAACTGTGCTGTGCGCATCGCTTGCTCTGCTTCCACAATATTCGCAGAGCAAGACTGCCCTGCAAGCGCCCAGGACCCATGCAGAAGCCCAGCAGTGTCGACGGTCTAGTGACCTGCGGGAGGACTGCAGCCGTGGTTCCTTCTCCTCTTCCCACCAGCGGCTGGCCCTCCCTCCCCACCAGCCAGCCCTGTCACCAGGCTGGCGCAGACAGACACGCAGGAAGCAAGCTGAGTGCCTGTTCTTCCAGCTGCTGCAGAATTAACTAGACCCCACTGGCAGTCACCAGCACCAGAGGACAATCTTACACAACTCACCATGCCTTCCAGAAAGAGCCCTGCGGAAGAAGAGAAAAAACAGTGTGATCCTTCTCTCCTCACCTTTGGCTGCAGATCCCCCAAAGCTTCCTTCCTTGGCATCTTATTCTGCACTAAGTCTCCAACTATGGGTGGTCTTTACCACATTACCACTTCTTTTCCCCCTCTGCTTTACAGATATACTGGGGTTCACACAAAGCCTGGTATAAGTGATGCTTAAAGGACTTGCTTTAACTTTATTTCTTGCTTTAAATAAACTTATACTATTGCTTACAATTGAGAAGGAATATTGGATTTAGAGATTCAGGATCCCCAGCCATGTTTTAGGAGCAGGGCGTAGGGACCATCCCAATATGGCATTTCACTGCCCAGTTTGCTGAAGGCATCAGCTTGGGAAGGTAGGTCTGGCTCTCTCCTGTCCATCCTGTGATACCCACCAAAGTGTACCTGCCATTGACCTAGAACAGATTTTCTCAAAGAGGGCAGGAACTGGAACCGTACTCACAGCAGTGATGCAGCATAGTAAGAGCACAAGCATTAGCAACAGACCACTTAGGTTTAAGTCTTTCAGAGCTGTGCGCTTGCTGTGTGACCTTGGGCATGCTACCAAACCTCTCTGGGCTCCAGGTTGCTTACCCTTAAAATGAAAATAACATGGTAAACAACTCAATCAGATGTTTTGAGCATTACATGATTTAATATATACAAATATTTTAGTATAATTTCTAGTATATACTAAATGCTCAATACATTTTTTCTCAATTTTTATTATGTTTATTCTAACTGTATATCTATCACCTATTAAGCAATGACTTGCAGGTAGTGTACTAGGAAGAATAATGAACTTAGTGTTCAAGTCAAGTAAACCAAGGATGGCTTTCTCCTCCATCTTTGGGTTGTGAGGTTTTAGGGGGTGTAATCAGTGCTTCATGCGCCCCTGCCCTTTCCACTGGCTCTTCTTGTTCAAAGGATTATAGAGGAGAACTGGGGGAGCAGGAGAAGATACAAACAAATTTTGCCTGGTTTTGCATGTGGCCAGGCTCAGGCCTGCCCACTGATCTCAGACCACCACACACCATCCTGCTCTTTGTGCTTGAGAACAAAACTTATCTTTCTTATGACAAACCTCTTACATATTCGGATATTCCAGTTTCTGTGAATGTAAATTAAAAAAAAAATAATCCACCACTCTAAGGTAGAGAGGGACTTTCTGGGTCATGGCATGTGACCATATAAATCAGATTCAGAAAAGGAAGAAAAATGTCCTTTTGAAGGTTAACAATTTAAATTCAACCCCATATTTATGGCATGACGATTTCATGCTGGTTGGCTTTTTTGGGCACACTTTTTCCTGGAGTGCCACAAAATTAGAATTTTTCAATCACAGCTAATTCCGTCTCCCCACTTCCCCACCCAGTTTGTACCTTAAGCATTGAGAGGCATGTTTTGAATGCACGGAAAAGGCTAAATTATAATCATTGGCTGAAGTCTAATCCCTCTTGCAATCCCAATAAATGAAAACTAAATATCAGCAAATGGATGAATTTCGGAGAAACATCTGTGTTCCATTACAGAATCGCTGGCAACAATGGTGTTGACATACTCTGTGTTACCAGTTATTTCCTCTTGGATTTGCCGAGACTGGAGGATTCCTTCTCGTTTCTGAAAACGGGGGTGGGGTGGGGAGAGGGTTGGGAGGAGGAGAGAAAAATATGCTTTAGAAAAATACAAAAAACTGATTAACATTCCTGATACTGAGAAAGTTACTGGCATTTAAGAAATGAATCCAGCGATGAGATACTGCTAGAAGTGAAAGAAGGCCCCTGGTTTTCTGGGACTGGACTGTACCATTCATACTTAAGTGCAATTAGTGTTTATTCCAAACAAGTCGGCTGTTTCTTGGATGGCGACTCTTTTCTTTCTTTATTGGAAGACCTTCTGCTGGAAGCACACTGCCTCCTGGAGAAACCCACAGTACACCAATGGAAATGAAGGCCAGGGCGTATCTGCCCTCTGGCTGGGGCCACAGGGGGAAGCAGAGAAACACGTTTAACTGGGGGGCAGGGGTCTGGGGTGGAGGAACTGAAGCTAACTTGGAGAAATCAGAAGCAGAGTTTTTAAAAAGTGTTTAACTAGGAGAGCTTTTAAGTAGGTAGTACAGTCCTTAGGTAACTAGCTTATGCTCTGAGAAAAGGGTAAGCAGTTTTTCAGTCCATCCACTCATCCACTCATCCATCTGCCCATCCATTCACCCACCCATCTACCCATCATCTATCTACCCCATCCCATCAACTTATCTTCTTTCTTCTCTGTTTCATTAATCAGTGCCTTCTACGTACAAGCCCCTCTGTTGGACTTAATGACAGTTTTGGACCTCGAGGAACTTACGAGTAAAATGGGGTAGATGAACAGGTAAGCAAGAAGGTTTTCCCCCAAACAAGCCCCTGGCTTATGCCTCAGGACCCAGCTCAATTATTAGAGTAGGATCCTCTTTCCCTCTCAAACGTGTGGTGGATAAGCAATTACATGGTCACCCCCTGCAGAGAGGAAGTACTGAGAGCAGGACCAGAACAAGTGCTTTCAGCTGGGAGGGTCAGCCTAGGCCTGGGCTGGACACAGATGAGAGACCACTTTAGTGGGAGGGATGGCCCCAGCAAAAAAGGCAGAGTCAGGAGAGCACAGGCACGATCAGAATGCTGTTCAGAGAGGCAGAGGCTGCTGCTAGTCAACTTTTAAAAATTAACTTATTTGGCTACACCTGGTCTTAGTTGCAGCATGCAGGATCTAGTTCCCTGATCAGGGATCAAACCTGGGTCCCCTGCTTTGGGAGCACAGTCTTTGCCAGTGGACCAAGGGAAGTCCCTAATGTTAGTCAGCTGAGTGCAAGTTTACATGGGCATGTGAGCTGATAAGCAGTGCTGGGGTTAAGGGAGACATTCTGATGAAGGTGAGGAGAGAGATGCATTCATCAGGTCCCTACTCAGTCAGTTACCAGACACTTGGAAGATAGTCTGGGCATGGCAAGAGGTTGTCAGAGCAAATCCATTTTCCACAAAGGCCAAGGTATGTCAAGAAGAAGGCTTCAAGCTTTAGTGTCTTGGCTAAAACCTGCCTTCTGACCCTCCTGCCCCAACTTTCACAACCCTTTCTTGGCATTCCCAACAGCCACGGAAACTAGCATCCTTACAAAATCCTTTTACAGAAGGAAAGGTAGAACTGGATAAAGGCCATGACTGTATCTGGATTAGATTAAGAAGAATGAACTATCAAAGCAAAAAAGGAAGAAGAAAATGTAAAATACCATTTAAAAAAGATCCAGTGAGGATTAACCAGGACTTTCTCCAAATTCAGCTTCAACATATGTAAAAATTTTCACATAGGACTAATAAGGCCATTCACAGACATCAAACCTCATCTCCAACAACAGACAGAATTAATAAATGCTTGTATATAGAACGGAAAAGAATTCTGGGTTCAGTGTCCCCTCACATAGCATCCTGATTCACTTCAATCCACTATTTGTTCCCTAAAGAACTAACCCTCTAGTTCCGTCAGCATCTTATAGCCATTTCTGAGTCATGCTTCTGTGCCTGTTTAACTTGATAAAGCAAAACACCCCATAAAATCTGACATGCCTTGATGCCATTTTATGCAACACGTCCTCCTTTCTCCCTCATGCTAACAAAACTGCCTGCAGGAGAAATTAAACCAGCGACAGACTTCTGATGGCCTATAATTGAGCTCAAAATAAGGCATGAGACATGGGCCTGCAGTGACCACTGTTTCACCCCCCATCCTCACAAATCCTGAATCATAGTTTTAAAAAATATAATAAAATGGATTCACACTTTATTGATTCATAAAAAAATGACACAATAGAGATGGCCTGGATTCACTAGGAAGATGCATATACCAGGAGGCTCTGGGCTGGCCACGTATCCATAAAATCCCTCATGCCATGCTTGACACAGTTGAGAGCCCAGTAAGTGAGGCCAATTAGTCCCTTTCAGCCAGCTGCACTGGCTGAACCACACACGTTTGCATTGACAAGGGGCCTCTGATAGCCCTCTCTGCTGCTTAGGTAGTCCTGTGTCTGGGTAAGCAGGGCCAAGGTGTCATATTCCTATTATACCCTCTTAATCTTTAGCAAGTTAAGTACCCAGAAGGCATTGGAAAAAGTACTTTTTCATTAGGGCCTGGCTGAGTGGCACCCCCATGTCCGCCTTTCCTCTGGTTCACTTCTGATCGCTGAAAGCCTGGCCCAAAGACCTTTTGTCCAAGAAGCTGGCCTGGCCTGGCTTCTCAAGCAAAGCCTACTCACCCTCTAGGCTCTTCTTCACCAAGGGATGGCAGAGCCGCCAGACAGAATAACCAGGGAGTTGTTCATTAGGGATGTTCTCCCTTGCAGCATGTTTATTTGGAAAAGAACAGAAGCCAACAAAATGACGACCTTTTGCTCAACAGCATAAAGTTGGAAAATAAAATTGAATTTGAGTATCTAATGGGGTTAGGAGCAGAATGAGATAGTCATGGGGAGAGAGCATCCCCTTATTGTGGAAAGGACAGAGCCGTGTGTGAATGGAAATTCCACATAATAATCTGCACAAGATGACTTGATACCACAGCTGTGCTTCTCTGGGCAGGTGAAAAGCGGCAGTGCCCTCAACATGGGCACGGCCTGTCAGGGTCTCTCTCAAACACACATGTGTGCACACGCACACGTGCCCTCACATGCACAGATACCTGTCTCTTCTCAATAACGGTGCATTGGTTGTTTAACCAAAAAATGACTCTCCGTGGCTTGCAGGACATACACAAACACACACATGGATATGTTCTCCTAATCCTACTACACAGACCTCACAAATATATACACCCCCCCACCCTCAAATATATAATACCCAGGCACCTTCCTTAAGAAAGCATGTAAAACCCAGGCACACGCCCCACATAAGGCTGTCCCAGACACAAGCACACGCTCTTCTACCCTTTTTGTACATATATCAGAGATAAGCCCACATGCATCAGAAAGCTCAGACATGCCTCCCAACACACAGCACACCCAGGCACACTCAGCATTCATTCAGTCCTCCTAGCGAGCTTCCCAGTGTGCCTGAGCTCACATGGGAGCTTAGCCCCTGCACCCCTTTAAGGGCACCGATGTTTGTAGTGGTTTCTGACTTACCTGGACCACAACCACTTGGATAGAAACATGGTCTGGGAGTCGGATTGGTGCCCGGAAATATTGGGACAGAGCAACTAGCAGATGCAAGATGGCTACCAGGCTCTTGGCATGAACCGCTGAAATAAAAGATAATTTATAAATCAGAGAATCTTCTTCTAGGTTCTAGGCAGATAAAAACAGATATTCAAAACATAGCAGTACCACATGGGGCTAATGGAGTCTGTGTCCTGGTCTTGTGAGGCCGTTCATGGCCATCCAAGCTCATCTTCAGCTACATGCACAACTAAATGCTTGTACACAAAATGGAAAAGAAATATGGGTTCAGTGACCCCTCACCCAGCATCCTGATTCACTTTGATCCACAATCAATGCCCCTTTCATCCCACCCCTATGGGTCAGGGGACACCCTTAGTCATAGTAGACCTCACCCTGGGCCCCCTCGGTTCTCAGCCAGATCCCGTGGATTTACTTCTTAAATCATGTTATTGCTGGATTGCAATGCAGTGCTTCTCCACTCTGATTGGGACCCTGACAACAGCTGAAGCCTGAGCTCAGATCAGCACCGCACCACCTCCATGTTCTTGTTCACTCTATGCCGATAACCACACGCGTATCTGCTGTACCCCTCACCCTTCCCATCTGATGGTGAACTCTATAGGTTATCACCACTACTCCTGTTCCAAGGCTCTACACAAAGCAGGCCCTCAATCAGTGGACACTGAGTCAGGACACTGGGTGCCTTCCTTCGTCCAGGGCTTTAAGACCCCCCGAAGAAGGCATGAGAGATACCCAAGGATTTTGTTGCTCTCTTGAGTGCCATGCATGGTCAGTCCAGGCAATGCCCTTTGGGTCATAGCTGGGAGGGGATGTTCAGGCCCCAGTGCCTTCTATAGCTGAGCTGTGTGCTGGATGTTAAGCTGTGTATGCCAGAAAAGGCTGGGAAACTACTGAGCTGTAGTTTTCTGAGATGAGAGGAGAAAAAGGCTGTGATGTAATCGGCACACAGCGTCAGGCCAACTGGAGCTTGAGTTCTGACTTGACAAACTACCATTCACTTACTGAGTACATGGCCTTGGGTAAGGCATTCAAGGCCCCTGAGGCTCAATCTGCTCAACCTCACACATGAGGATAACAACACCTTTGAAGAAATGCAGGTGGTAAGAATTTCCAGACATAACATAGGCAAAGCTCACAGCACATAGCAATGCCTAGGAATGGTTGATTTTTTTATGATCACTTATGAGAAAGTGCATGGCATCCAGGCTACTAAACCATGTCAACTTTTTCCCCTTTCTTTCATGAAAGGAGAAAGTCCCCAGATACTTGACCTGCCTTCACAGTCCTACCAGCCTTATGGGTTTAATTACAGGGGCATTTAAGGAAGGAACAAGACACATCTATTTTGTGTAGTTAGTGAGTATGAATGAACTGGGCCCATTATTAGGGTGTCATTCTGTCTGCCCTGGGATCAATAAATCTGCTCTAACAGAAGCTTTGGGAAATCACCAAGAAAATGAAATGATTCAGACCATTCTTGGGAACTCATTAGAGTTTTCTGTTATCCCTGCTGCTTCCAAGAAGGTTTTCCACTGACTATGAAGAACAGCAACTCAATACTACCACCAAACAGCAGATGAACTGCTCCTAACTCATGGCCTTCCAGGAGGAGTTTTCAGCTTGGGGCTTTTGGCTTTGTCAACTAAGAATCCCCCAACATTTATAGCTTTAAAAAAGGTACCTGGGGGCTTCCCTGGTGGTCCAGTGGTAAAGAATTCATCTGCCAATGCAGGTGACACGGGTTTGATCCCTGATCAGGGAACAAAGATCCCATGTACTATAAGGCAGCTAAGCCCATGCAGCAACTAGAGAGACTGCACATCACAAATAAGACCCAGTGTGACCCACTTACCCTTTCAAAAAAGGGCGCCTGGCATGGGACGGACCCACTGATATGATGCACAAAGGCAGAATCTGGGTTTGCTCTTCTGACCACATCAGAACTGACCACATCTGTCCTGTCACTGAGGGTTGTAAGGACATTTGCTACCTCTACCCTTTTTTTCATAATGCTGGAAAAGCTGTGGTCGGAAATTTTGTTCTCACGCCCTGGTGATGTTGTATGTTACCTTGACTGTCTCTGTAAGCAAAGTAGAGCTATGTTGTAGGCACTATACGGATGTCAGACTCTTCCAATGAGTGCTCTGTCTTTCTGGGTATACTTTCAAGAGAAAAAATTACAGAGTTTCTCTTTCTCTCTCTCTCACATCACATACATGCTATTTTAAATAATAAATGCTGGAGAGGACATGGAGAAAGGGAATCCTCCTATTTTGTTGGTGGAAATGTAAATTGGTGTAGCTACCATGGAAAACAGTACTGAAGTTCCTCAAAAGATAAGAGTTAGCATATGAGCCAGCAATCCCACTCCTGGGCATATATCTGGACAAAATCATAATTCAAAGAGATACATGCACCATTATGCTCATAGCAGGCTATTTACAATAGCCAAGACATGAAAACCACCTAAATGTCCATGGAAAGATGAACAGATAAAGATGTGGTATAATCAACAGAGGTATGGATAAAGAAGATGTGGTAATAAATAAATGGACTATTACTCAGCCATTAAAAAGAATGAAACAATGCCATTTGCAACAACATGGATAGACCTAGAGAGTGTCATACTGAGTGAAATAAGTCAGAGAAGGAGAAATATCATATGACATCCTTTAAATGTGGAATCTAAAAAGAAATGATACAAATAAACTTACAAAACAGAAAGAGACTCACAGACTTAGAAAATGAATTTATGGTGGCCAGAGGGAAGGGACAGTTAGGAAGTTTGGGAAGGTCATGTACACACTGCTATATTAAAAATGGGCAACCAACAAGTACCTGTTGTATAGCACCTGGAACTCTACTCAATGTTATGTGCCGGCCTGCATATGAGGAGGTTTGGGGGAGAACGGATACAGGTCTATGTATTGCTGAGTACCTTCGCTGTTTACCTGATATTACAGCATTGTTAATTGTCTATACCCCAGTACAAAATTAAGTTTAAAGTTTGGGGGAAAAAAAAGATGTGGTATATTTACACAATAGAATACCACTCAGCCATTAAAAAGAAGGAAATAATGCCATTTGGATGGACCTAGAGATGATCATAGTAAGGGAAGTAAGCCTGACAGAGAAAGACGAAATATCATATGATATCACTTATATGTAGAATCTAAAATATGACACAAATAAACTTATCTACAAAACAGATTCACAGACACAGAGAACAGACTTGTGGTTGCCAAGGAGGAGGGTGGGTGAGGAAGGGATGGATTGGGAGTTTAGGGTTAGCAGATGCAAAGTATTATATATAGAATGGGTAAACAAGGTCTTACTGTATAGCACAGGTAACTGTATTCAATATCTTGTGATAAACCATAATGGTTGATTATCATATATTATCACTTAAAAAAAATCTGGAAATGCATATCCAAATGTAAGAGGATGGTTTAGACAAGCAGTCTAACTTCAATTTTTTAAAAAAAAGTAAGCAGAGACATCCTTTGTTCCAAAAGTCATCAGGCAAAAGTGATACGAAGGGGTACAGCTGCTCTGGTCCTGTTATCCTAACTACAGCGCTGCTTCCCTTCTTGGTGATGCCTGACTTTTTCCTCGCAAATCCCAAGGTTGGGACAAACATGGTTTAATAGTCACTGCTTTAATAAATTATAGAACATCCACAAGATGAGACAGTTTGCATGCATTGAAAATCATTGTTAAGACAAAGTAGATGTAAATATTAAGAATATTAAAGGGAACTAGAAATAAGGTAAATATATACATTTATGGATTTCTGCATATAAATACACATATATTTGTACATATATGCATACATACATGTATATAAATACACACACATACACATATGTACACAAATACACACATACACACATGTACTTGTTGCCAAGCCTTGGAAAGTGGAAAAAACAAAATGCTATAGCTGAAAGATTCTTTTTTCCTGCTTCAAATGTTTCTTTAGAATAGAGACATGTTATCTTTTCAATTAAGAAAGCTTCTGACAACCTCTGTGTATCTGGGCACTCTCATCATTTTATCTCTTGGCACATCTCCTGGGTGTCTTCTCCCTGATGCCGGGCAGAATGCAGGGCCACTGTGCTCCTGTGCTCAAGTCAGGGTGGAGACGTGCAGAAAGACAGCAGGGCTGAGCAGCCGAGACCCTGCTGCATAAACTGGGCCCTGCAGCCGCTGTGCCAAGACGGTCGCTCCAGCACTGGGAAACTGTTTCAAGGGTGCTGCTGAGTGAGAAACAGTCCTCCAAACAGGAATTGTGGTGGAAACAGAAACTGGGGCAATTTGGGAGGAGGCAATTTGACAGTATGTGTGAGGACCTTAAAATGTACATATCTTTTGGCTCTAAAGTACCACTACTGGGTTTTTATCCTAAAGAAGTAATTATTATCTACGAGCAGACAGAACTCCTCAGGCTGTACTGATATCAGTGAGAAAATGGAAAAAAATCTTAAAATCTATCATGAGTTAAGTAAATTATGATATACCTAATCTATATCATATTTTTAAAAGTGACATATAGAAGGATATACAATGATCTGTAAAGATAAACATTTTCTAAACAGTATGTACAGGTTGATCTCATCTTCATAAAAATATATTTTATATGTAAAGCATATGCACACAGTTTACTCAGTTATTGATGTATTTAATTCTTACAAACACGCACACAGCCTGAAGGAACATCACAAGGCTGACAGTGCTCATATCTGATGGACGGCTCGGGGGGCATATGTGTGGGCTCAGTACACAGACTCTGCAGCCAGACTTTCTGGGTCTCACTCCTGGCTCCACCGCTCACCCACCATGTGACCTTGGACAGTGACACTCCTTTAGCAAACAGTATTGTGCTTAGCATTGCCAATCACTTTCCCAGGCTTCAGGGACACAATAGTAAAGGGGCAAAAATCCTTGCCCTTGGGAAGCTTACATTCATTGTTTCTTAACCTGTCTATGCCTTCACTTTCCTATCTGTAAAATGGGGACAGTAGAATCCTTACCTCAGATGGCTGAATAATGATTGCAAGGCTCAAAATATGTAAAGTGTTTAGATAAGTACAAGGCATACAGCATTATAAATATGTTAGATGTTATTTAAGCATCTTTTAACTGTTATTTTCTAAATTTTCAATAATAAAAATTATTATTGTGAATTAAAAAAAAAAAAAAAAAGGAAGAATCCCCTAAAGCCCTGGATCAAGGACCTTGGAAACTCAGTGCTGTCCCTGCCACCTTGATCCTGAATGGAAAGATGACACAATGTCCTCAGAAAGAGCCAGGGAAGATAACTGAGAGAGGAGGGGCTAGAGCCTGCCCTGGGAGTCATGCCCACCACATTCCTTATCACAGAAACCACTGTTGCCTGAAGCCCCGAGGCATCACAGGGAGCTGGTTCCTGAGATAATTATTCCCTCTGACCTAGTAATTCCTCTTGGTTCTGGAAAGCTATCTGATGAGAATAATTTAAGAGAAGCAGAGTCACAACCTAACATTTAACTCGGCACTATCTGATATTAGCAATAAGCTGGAAAACATTCTAAAAAAGATCAGTGTCAACATAGGGTTTAAGTTAACCATGGGATACCTAGCCCAGGAAATAGAGCAGCTATCAAAAATTATAACTACAAAGACCACATGTGAATATAGAAGATGTGCATGATGTAATATTAAGAGAGGATAACAAAATGAGTCTGTATATGCCTTCATCAAGTAAAAATATGAAAAACTATGCATTGATGTGGATAGTAATGGCAAAAAAATGAAAACAGCTAGATGAGAGTGGTAATAGATGTGATTATTTTACTTGTAGACATTTCTCTATAAGAAATGAAAGTGAATGCGAACCCAAAACAAATCATTCAAAGCCATTGAAGACAAGGGTTCTGATGTGGCTTTAAAAAATTCCAATCTTAAGCCAGGCAAAATGGTTTGGGGATGGGGAAGATGAAATGAGGAATGTTTCAGATCAAGAAAATATCTTCCAGAAAGGGTTCTAGAAAGGTGGAAATATTGTGCCCTATTTAAATGAGGCCAGTGTATGGATGACAAGGAGAGAGGCAGAGACAGCATCAAATACATTTGCAGACAGAGAGGTAGATGGGGGGTTGGCCAGACGTTAAGGGTTGATTTGCTCACTCCAGCCTCAAATTCATCCTGGAGAAGGAAATGAAAACCCACTGGAGTCTTAGCCTCCAGTCCCCCTGAATGTGACCTTATTTGTAAAATCATCGCAGATGTGATTAGTTAAGATGAGGTCATGCTGGAGTAGGGGGAGTCCCTAATCCAACATGACAAGTGTCCTTATCAAAAGAGAAAATTTGGACACAGAGATATGCATAGAAAGAAGGTGATGTGAAGAAATACAGTAAGAAATCAGCCCTCTGTGAGCTCAGGAGAGAGGCCTGTAACAGATCCTCCCCTTGCAGCTCTCAGAAAGAACCAAGAAACCCACCCCTTGGTCTCAGACTTGTGGCCTCCAAAACTGGGAGCAAATAAATTTCTGTTGCCTAAAAACAAATGACACAAAACAATTCCATCTTTCCTATTCCCAAGTTGGATCCCATGATACACGAAAAGGAGTTTTGAAACAAGTTCCTACTATTGTAGGACAGGGAACTATAGTCAATAGCCTGTGATAAATCATAATGAAAAATAATTTTTAAAAAAATGTATACATACATATATATATATATGTATGTATGTATAACTGAATCACCTTGCTGTATTGCAGAGATTAACACAACACTGTAAACCAATTTGTTTCAATAAAAAAGAAAAGAGCTCCAGAGGGCTTCCCCAATGTTTTACCCCTTCCCTGGTGGCTCAGAGGGTAAAGAAATTGCCTGCAAAGCAGGAGACCTGGGTTTGATCCCTGGGATGAGAAGATCCCCTGGAGAAGGGAATGGCAACTCCCTCTAGTATTCTGGCCTGGAGAATTCCATGGAGAGAGGAGCCTGGTGGGCCACAGTCCATGGGGTTGCAAAGAGTCGGACATGACTGAGCAACTAACAAATCAACTATACTTCAATTAAAAAAAAAAGAAGTAAAAGGTGTTTTGTTTTGGAGAGGTATATAGAGATGGTCCATATTCAAAGGAGCAGGAAATAGGATCAAACAAAACTGACCAGTGGTCACTATCAGAGGACTTCAATGCTTATGACTATTATGGATTTCCAGAATGCAGATACATTACCCAAACTAGTGATCGGCTCCCTTTCCCTCCCCCACTGAACATGACTAGCATTCCTGGGGCTCACAGCCGCAGCCTCCCCTCCTCCCTCCTTCAGGTGTCTCCTCTGCTCGGCAGAGGATGCCTTGTTCCCAGTGCTCTGTGCTGCTCCAGGCAGCTTATCACGCCTGCAAGCAAACGTATAATTATGCTGAAGGAGGCACTTGGCGTCTCTCTGCCAATGTCGGATGTTCGGAACCTGCTGAAGAGATTGCCAGTGGCAGCTACTATGTCTCTGACTTGGAGAGGTGAAGATTCCCTTTACTTTCTCAGGTCTAAAAGGTGGTGTTTTGGGGTGGGGTGGGGTGGAGATGTCCATTTTAAGCAGCATACATCAGGACCTCCCTGGTGGTCCAGAGGTTAAGAATAAGGCTGCAGTGCAAGGGACGTGGGTTTGATGGTTGGTCTGGGAGGATTCCACATCCTGTGGAGCAACTAAGTCCATGAGCCACGACTACTAAGGCTGCAGTCTAGAGCCCACGCACCGGAACTACTGAAGCCCGGCGCCCAGAGCCTGTGCTCTGCAACAAGGGAAGCCACCGCGACGAGAAGCCCACACACCGCGTGTAGAGACGGCTCGTGTGCAGCAACGAAGGCCCAGGGCAGCCAAAAATAAATAAATACAAATTAGAAAAAAAATTTTAAGTTGTCTATGTCAGATGCAGTAAGATATAATACTCAATCCCTTAATACTTAAAAGGCAAAATCTACAGTCTAAGTCATTAATTTTATTCATCTAAATGCATATTTTTATTCTATCACAGAACAAAACAACATTGGGCTCCTGATAGGAAAACGTGTTGTTGCTACTGGATTTGCTCAAATCTATTGATCTCGTGTTGACTGATATGGACTCAATTAGGTCCATATTAGACAGCCGGGCCCTTGAGGCAGCAAGAGAATGAACGGTTTAAAATCTCTGAGAACCTTGAGCTACACTTGCATGAAAACCTGAATCTTAAAATCTTATTTCAGTACCTATGCTCTCAACCATATCTCTGCTCCCTCTGGACAGTAAGGGGGTGAGAGGAAGAGGATGGGCATTGGGACAGAGCCAAGTCCCTGCTCCCCGCTTCTCAGCTGCTCATACTAGGGATCTCCGCTTCCCACAACCTTGAGAAGCTGGAGACAGCTTTCTCAAAATGTTGTGCTGGGACTCAGAAGTAGCTCAATGAATGGGAGTTTCTTTCCCAACAATCCACATGAAGTTTCTACAGAATGCCTTTTATAGAAAAAGCACACTAGATTTTGACATTTTGTGGTTTTCCTCAGCTTCCTTTGGATGAGGGTGATGAGCTTGCATTCTAAGGAAAGGGACATCTCGTTCAGATGGGTTTGCACCCACCCAGCTTATGATGCAACCTCCTGGGGAAACCCCACAGGTGTCCTGTAACAATCCCATTTCCCTTCATAAAACTCACTGTCTACATTCCACTTGATGCTCCGAGGAGGAAGTTTCAGGGTTTCGTTGATCTTCTCCAGGACAGTCTGCAGCTTTTGCTTCTGGGCAATCTCTGACTGGGTGACCTCAGCGACGTTCAGCTTCTCACTCTCGAGTTTCTCTGGGGCGACAAGGGAAAGAGAACAGCTATTAGCTTTGCTGCACACCACCCTAAGCCGTGCACTCACACCTTCACTCGTTCACTCACTCACCAAATACATACTGAGCACCCAGGAAGAAAGGGTTGCTGCTGCTCCTTCCTCAGCTGATGGTGGCACTGTGGTGCTAGTATGTATCGTGAAGACCTAGGGATTGTCTTGAAACCCCAAAGTGATAAGGCCTCAGGACCATGAGTGAGTGAGTGAAAGTCATCCCGTCGTGCCTGACTCGTTGTGACCCCGTGGACTATACATATACCGTCCGTGGAATTCTCCAGGCCGGAATACTGGAGTGGGTAGCCTTTCCCTTCTCCAGGGGATCCAGGACCACAGGTGGGCATTTAACCCAGCTTATCACATTTGATCTCTTTTCCCTCACATCTGGGGTTTACCCTCTTTTTTCCACATCTGCCTTCTTCTCCAAGGACATGCCTGTGCCCCGACTGGAAAGCCTTCCATGCTTCCCCTGGGCACTAGTCAAGTCCTAACTCAAGGTGTTTTGAACCCTCTTGTGTAGTACAATATGAATCATATTTATATCTTAAGAACCTTCTTTCCTTTTAAACCCACTTGGAAGATAACTAATTTGATGTGTCCTACTTAATCAACTCTAATGCACACATCCTTTCACATTTTAACATCCCTGAAATCAGGCTATCTTAAAACTGATGGCATCCTACAACTGCTGACAGCCAGATGGAAGAGTTACCACTGCTTCTATGTGGAGGAACTTGGTCATAACTCTTCCCAGTGTGGTCACTTCCATGTCTCAGTAAGCCTACAAGATGCTGTGTAGCAGAAATTAACACAACATTGTAAATCAACTATACTTCAATAAATTTAAAGAAAGCTTACGTGAGCAATTTCAAAAAGTAGAACATAAACATTCCAAGTCATAACAAAGCATCAGGTAATAGTTTAATTGAAGGTTTTTTTTCTCTTTGAGCGGTACTTATCCTGGTATGTTTTAAAATCAATGGTTCAGGTATGCAATGATATAACCCCTTAATACTTAAAGGCAAAAAAAAAAGTCTATTTATTTTATCCATGTAAATTTATATTTCTATCTTAAGGAACAATTTTGGATTCCTTAATAGGAAATATGCTGTCTGCTATTGGATTCACCTAATCCACTCTCTGCAACTCACTGGAGGATTGACAGGACTTTCTTAAGTATGTTTAAAATGTCTTTTCTCCTCATTTTTTAGGCATGCCGTACAAACTAATGAAACTTCACCACACATCAATGGTCCCCATATAGCTTACATTATCTTATTTTTCAGTAGTTGTAGCTTATCCAAGTCAAATGCCCCTTGATTAATTCTTTGAAGACAAAATTGCCCAGTAGAAAATGGGTTATGGAAAAACCTGAAAAAAATTTTTTTGGCCGACCCAATATATAACAGATCTTATTTAATCATTCCCCTGTAGATACAGAGCCAGGTTATATTCCATTTTTTCCCCATTTGTAATAAAGTTGCAGTAAACATCCTGTGTGTGTGTGTGTGTGTGTGTATATATATGTATTACCAACTGATTATTACTGGTAAAAATAAAAGTTATTGTCTTACAAATTTTCTTCTTGAACACAGTCATCTTACCAAATTCCTTTATTATTCTTTGAGTTTTTAGTATTCTCTAGGCATACAAATAACATAACATTACTGTCCCTATTTTGTAAGCTTATGTCACTTATTTCAATTTTATGTCATTTTAAGATAGATTTCTTTGAGTCTTTTCTGTTTCTACCCTTCATATTATTTTAAAAATATTCAACCCTTAAAATTTAAGAGATCTACTCAAATAGTCCTACAGTTAAATAACTTCATTCAGTGTTACTAAGAAGTTATAGATAATTTCTTTTTAAAGTCTTCTTGTTTTTTTTTCTTTATTCAGCTAATTTCAGCTAGTTCTATGAAAATTTTCCATTACCAAATTTTTATTCTTCCAGGAAATTGTTTCGCTCATGTTTTTATAGTTCTGAAAATTGTTCATCATTAGTTTAACTTGTCATAAAGTAGTAGGCATGATTTTGAAATAGGATGCTATTTAGAAAATTTTCTCAGGTAGGATTATATTGTAAATCTTTCCATTGTTTTTGAAGTTAGCATCCAAATAGGCTTTTGCAGAGGTTATTTACAGAAAACAATGAAAGAGTATTCAAAAAGTTCTCAAATACCAAAAAAGGGCAGAATAAACTCAGGTATTCTGAATGGTTGTCATTCAGAATTGTTAGAATTGTTAGATATTCTAACAAACACAGTCACCACATATATCACACTATATTAATGTAACCACCCTTCAAAGAATTAGAATATGTAAACTACTCCTTCCAATATGAAAAATTCCTAAGTTATCATATTTTTGTTTCCAAAACAAATTAGAATATGTAAACTTCTCCTTCCAATATGAACAATTCCTAAGTTATCATATTTTTGTTTCCAAAACAAGAGGGTTAGTTTAAAAAAGTTTTTTTTTTTTTTTTTACTGTATCATGGTCAAAGAATTTGGTCTGTATAACTCGTTCAGGCTTTATGGACAGAGTCAAATTTTATAAGTGTTCCATGTAGTTGAAAAGAATAAGAATATTCATTTGGAGGTGTTGCTGGTCATTTAGATTGCCTAGCTCTTCTCTAGTTTTTGAACTTTTTCTTAACGTGTTATTAAAAGAAATATGTTAATGATAGATTTGTCAAGTTCTTGTAATTCTGACAGACATTTAAAATTTTTATATAGTAACATTTAATGCATAAAAGTGTTTTAGGTTTAAAACGTCCTTATTTCCTAGTAATGTTAGTCTCATTAATAATGTAGAGACTCTCCACAGCAATGTTTTCCTCCTTAGTCTATTTGATATTAAAATAGTTACCCCAGCTTTCTTTTAATTAGCATTGTTTAGTAGATATGATTATTTCCATTTTTTTCTTTCAACCCTTCTGTATCCTTATATGTTAAAGACTATGTCTAGTAAACAGCATATAGAAAGATTTTTTGTTATCTAGTCTGATAATCTTTTAAAAGGATAAAGCCAATTTACATTGATTGGGTTTACAAATATACTTGGATTCACGTGTATCAGCCTATTTTGAACTTTCTGTTACTCTATTTTTCTGATTCTTTACGTCCCCCTTTCACCCTTGTCTCTTAGATTAAGGCTCTTATTCCCTCTCATTTCATTTTCTCCTTATTAAATGTAGGGAGGATATATGCTCTGTCTTATTATTTTAGTGGTTTCTTTAGAAATTTTATCATGTGTATTTAACTTAGTCTTATGCTAATTAGTCTCTTTATCCCCATACTAAGTAATACAAGGACCTCAGCACACTAACTCTAATCACTTCCTGACTTAAGTGCTATAGTTGTCTGGGATTCTGATTCTATTATATCTTCATTTTTTGTTGCATTTCATATCTTTTCCGGGGGTTCATTTTCCTTCTTTGTGGAGAATACTCTTTAGAAATTCCTTTTAGTGAGGGTCTGTTGGTAGTAAACCCTCTCACTTCATGTTTGTTTAAAATGCCTTAATTTTCTCCCTGTTTTTAAAAGTTTTTTTTTTTTTTTGTGGATATAAACCTGTTAACAATATTTTTCTGCACTTTCAAAGTTTCATTCCAATAGCCTTGGGATTTTATTGTTCCTGATAAAAGACAGCTTTCAGTCTGTTGTTATAGGTAATTTCTCTTTTTTTCTCTTTGCTTTTGATCTTTTCTTTGCCTTCAGTCTTCTTAGGTTTCATTATGAAGACTTCTGATTACTTGTCCTGCTTGGGATACCCTGAGATTCCTGAATCTAGACTTCATATCTTCCATCAGTTCTGAAATTTTTAATTCATTATGTCTTTAATTATTATCTATACACCGTTCTCTTTGTTTTCTCCTGCTAGAATTCCAATTAGCCATGTGTTGGGTTTTCTTAATTTCTGTTTTTAATTCTCATTTTCCACTCCATTGTCTTTCTCACATTGCATTCTGGGTAATTTCTTCAGTGCCATATTCCAGCTCATCAATTCCTAATCAGCTGTGTCTAATCCACTGAAGTTTCTAAGTACATTATTCCATTTTTTCCCATTTCTAGAAGTTCTGTTTAGTTTGCTCTCTTAGTTTGCTTGTCTAATTTTGATAGTTACTTGTGCTTTTATCATCCTTTCAATAGTCTTAAGACTTTTGACATATTAAATGTATTTTATATTCTATAACTGATCAATTGCTAATATCTATAGCATTTGTGGGATGAATCTGTAGTTTATTGTTTTGGCTAATGCTGTCATACTGGCTTACTTTCATGTGTTTGGTGATTTCTGATCTTGAGCTCATTTACTTTGGAATTTTATCTCTGGGAATTTTTTGTAGCCTGGTTTAAGGTTCATCCTTTTAAAGAGGCGTATGTTTGCTCCTGCCTTGGGAAGCACTAATAACTTGGAACAAGTTTTAACTACATTTTCAGCTTGGGGCATTTAAAACCACATAAGTACTGTGAATTCTAGTCCAAAATTTGTGTGAGTACAGACATTTGATGATAAGGAATTATCAGTGCAGATTTCTTTCCTGTGTCCTATTCACGTCCAAGGCTAAGATAGACATTTATCCTTACTTACCCTGTCTGTGGGACAAGATTTTCTCTTTCACCCACTGAAAGGGTTACACTTCAGAGACCCTGGTGTTACTCAGGAGTATCTGATCCAATTCCCCTTCTTTTCAGGCTTCAGGCTTTCTCTCTTGACCCTGTAAGTGTGAGCCATTAAACCTCAGGCTAATTACTGTTTAGAAATTAACACTTATTTTACTGGATTTACACTTCCTTGTTGTTCTTGGCATCAGTAGGATTTCATTCCTTTCCAGTTAAGCCATACAATGCAAAAAAATATGTGTTTTTTAAGGTTTATACAGATTTTTAAAGTATGCAGGCCAAGAAGATTTGCTTCAACATTTAGTGAGCCATAATGTTCAACCTGAAAACCTGTTTC